AGCATCATCTTGTATAATACTAACTTAATATTCGTGTAGATATAAAACTTTTAATGGTAATATATTTAACTTACGGTACACATAATTAGTTCTTATTACTACACTGACACCCTTATCCTGAAACGATAAACGAACAAATTTGGCAATCAATTTTACTAAGGCGGCTTTCATCTGATTTGCATCATCGAAATTAGAGTAATTAATTGATGTCAGGCGCGTCTACAACACAGCAGATGCCAAAAAAAGAAGATTTATTGTAATTAATAACGATTAGGACTTCATTATGATCATTTAAAAACTGATTGGCAGTAGAAATGGAGTAAATTCCAAAATTAAAATTACGCAAAAAAAATAAAAAAAAATAGAAAGAATGTTTCAACAAAATATTTATTAAATCTCGACCAATGGTTTGACCTAACCGGTCATTATCAAAAATTCCTGTAATCCTCCATCTTTTAAGTTTATACATAAAAGCTCTCGTCTTCACTATATTAACCTTAGTTACAATAAATGCCAATGCTAATAAATAATTTGTTAGAACATGTGCTTCTTGTGTTTTCCTTTAAGAATGTTTTATCGAAAATATACACAGGAAGGACAATTTTGCAATGAAGTGATTATTCTTATTTAATTTATAAATATTATGGTTTTTGAGGATAATAGGGGAGTAGGGCACCGGGATCGAGCTTTGCCCTGAGCGACACCCTGACACTATTACCATTTGTACCGGTTTCATGTTTAATGTATTATTTATTTAAGTAAATTTCTATACTCTATCCTACTTTCTTACTCATTACAATTCCTACCCCCCGGATTACCTACTACCGATCCTGTATGTATTATGCTAAAGTCTTCACTCCAGAAGTCTTCAGCTTCTGGCTATCGATCTTCATTAATGTCTACTGGTTATCTCAGTTTTAAAATTCCAACTTCCATGTTTGCTAAATGGTTCCAACATTCCACGCTCCGATTCGTGAAATACTACATCTCCCAATTTAGTTCCCGTCCAGAAATCCGAAGAGGGGGCCATTTTACATCTAGAGTGCGTTATCCACATTGCAGTGTCGTGCGTCAGAATGCTACGCCGATCTTCGTGATCTCGGCCCACCTGAAAGAACTGTTGCCGTCTTTCAAGGACTTGTATTAGCATTAATCTGAATTCCCATCAATAACCCCATTATGGTTGAATCTATAATCCGGCTTCCTAAATCATCGAAACGCGCAAATCGATCCACCTACTCTAGTTTGTTTATAGAAATCATCATGTTCAAAAAATTAAAAACTTACCATAACTTAAACTTCGTTTACCAGCATGTCTCATTCCGCCCCTATTGAAGTGAACGACATTAGAATAGCATTTCAATGAAAGTCAACATAAAGTTGAGTAAAACAAAAGCATTTCATGTTTATTGTATGTTTTAACACAAGTTATTATTTATCATATTTACCCCTGTTTTCTTTGGTTTTAGTATCCCAGTCCTGAATGGGACACTGTTACTCCCGAAGCCAAGAATCTCATAAATCAGATGCTCACAGTGAATCCTGGAAAAAGGATCACTGCAGCAGAAGCTCTTAAACATCCTTGGATATGCGTAAGTTCTTTTTACGTTTTTGTTTTTCTGATAGATGAATGTACCATCGGGAACAAAAGTAACGTTCCTCTATAATCGAATTTTGGTTAGCAATCGTACACATAGGTAAATAATAATAAGATTTAGGCTGAAATAACTGTATGGGCAGCTATCCCCAATGAGAGGCTAGACAGTTAATTCTATGTCCATGTTTTTAAGTGAATATATTTCGTTGCTATAATTATATGGATTACCCTACGTAATTTTCAGTAGGTATACATGGAATCATTACTTCGATTCTTGATTGTACTTATGTATACACCCAAAGCCGCCTTCTGATGGTTTCTTCTGTTCCATTCTAATGAATGAAATGAAATACAGTAAAAGTTCTTTATTCGCGGGGTATACGTTCCATAAATATGCTACGAGTACAGAAACCGTGGATATGGAATGGTAATTAGTAGGGAATAATAGGGGATACGTTCTAAGGTTCCAAAATAAAACCAATACCATATGTATCAGAATAAAATCAATTTATTGAGAAATTCGCAATTAAAATTAATAGTTATAATCAGCTTTAGGCATGGGTTTAAAAAAATTAGTGATTTTTTCTTATTTTGAATTAGTCCAGTCGGTTACATCTTTTATAAAAGTCGCCTCGGCACGTACCAACAGTACATACTCGAAGGATGCCGATACATTAAGGGGATTCAGTAGTACATGCTTATCGGTTCTAGATATCATGAGTTTAATGTTTGGAACAGACGTTTGAAATTTTGTAGTAAGATAGATAAAGCTTTGTTCTAAAGCCTGTCGAAGGCCATTTTTTATTTTTTTAATTACTATCAACAAGAAGCATCAACTTTAAGCACTTGTAAAAGCTTTTAATGACCATATTGCTGAAAACCAAAAACGTACAGAGTTAGTATGAAACTTTGTTCGTTACTATACAAAAAATAACATATTTATTTCGCAGCGTTAAATCACAATGTTTAGAATAGAAACCCACGAAGCGGTCTATTGCGGTGAATCCGCTTAATAAATGACACCCAATCCTTTTCTGTTTACCGATTGCATCCGCGAATAATGAAATTTTTAGCCGCGAATACACGAACTGGGTTGCAATTTTTTCACCTGCGGAAAATGAAAACGCAAATAAGGAAACCGTGAATAAGAAGCTTTTACTGTACATAAACCATTATTTTTTTAAAATTTGAAAATACTAATGTATGAAGGTAATACCTCTAAAGCAGTTGGTTGTATTAACTTAAACATGGGTCAGTAAACGCAATTTAAAACCCAATAATAATATCTCGGCATAATAATCATGCCAAACATATACACTCGTTCCTAGGAAGCTTATAAATCAGGTAGAGCCATACAATAAGAACGAGCAATAGTTAGGTACTAGATAGAGAATAATGTAGTCTAACTTTGCTGGGGGGGAGCATAATTACGTACAGAACAATTATTTATAAAAGACCTGGCACCTCAGTATCTATCAAGGAAACAAAAACTATTTGCTTAATGGATGTTTCCATACTCATCATCATCATAAGGTCATCAGTCCTAAGACTGGTTGGACACGTACCTCCAGTCTTTCCTATCCTGAGCTAAATTTCGCATTTCCCTAAAACTAGAACAGCCCACATCCTTAACTATTTGCGAAGAGTAATCTAATCTAGGTCTACCTCTACCCCTCCTAACTCCTGTTTCTGCCTCTAATATGTCTCTGACTAGNAAATGGATTACTCTTGATGTATACAAGATAAAAGAAGGTTCGAAGTTTCGAATCAAAGCTCTCATTGATATCTGATATACAAGTACGAAGCGCTTTTTTTGAATACACTTTCGGTTTTTGTTTTATTTAATAAAAACCTGAAAAGAAAGCAAAGCTACATTATACACATCGTTACGAAATATGATTTGCTAATGATGTATTTTTTTATTTTCAGCAAAGAGAACGCGTTGCATCGGTTGTTCATAGACAGGAAACTGTCGACTGCCTCAAGAAATTCAATGCGAGACGTAAACTCAAGGTATGCTTTGTTATTTTGTCGATAGCGTCCGATTGAAAAATTCAATGTCCTGTTTTTTTTTTAATTCTAGGGTGCTATACTTACTACTATGTTAGCTACTCGAAATTTTTCAAGTAAGTGTTGTTCATGTCTGTGTCAGTCTGTTGTGTACTTATTTCACCAACGCAACGCTTTCACATTTTCGTTGTTTCTTGATTTTTTCATCCCTAACAAGAAAAATTTTCGTTGAGAAACCGCTACAGTTTTTTTTTTTTTAGAAAATTGCAAGCCTGTAACTTATAATTTGTTTGAGCAACCTTTTTGTCATTACAATTTTTAATTTTAAAAATTTTAGCCCTCAAATGGTATTAAAAATAAATTAGATAATGACATTTCTCTAAACAATTTGTACCATACACAAAAGATTAATGATCATTTATCAGATTATAATAAAAATAACATTAATTAATACATTATTTATGTTTAAATTATTACGTAGTAGTACCTACAACAGATGTGCAATGTTTTTATAATAAGTAGTAGCGATTCGACGTATTTTTAAAATAGTTTGGCATATTCCGGTTAACTCTAAATCACTCAGAAAAAATCCGTAAGGCCAAATAATGTAACAATAGATACTATTATTGCTTATCAACTACCATTTTTAGTATTATTCGAATTTCATATCTCTTTAACTGACTATTCATTCATGATTTCATCTTTTGAGAGTTTATGGAACTACCTAACCTTAAAAAATGACAGTTACTGTATATCGTCCTAAAAACATTTGCTTCTAAAGTTGATTATTTTCTCTCAAAAAATGTATAAAATGTTAAAACAGAAACTATTTTAACTCTTAAAAACTAAGATTTTTGAAACATCGTATTAATTAGCTATTGCATTTCTTATTGTTTTAACTGTTTCCTTTTTTATTGGGCTTTTATTTTCTAATTTTGTCCAACATACGATATTAACCAATCATTATTTTTGCTGAGTTTATTTTGCTTTTGTGTCAGTGTGATTATTGTTTTTATTTAGATTCAGCATGAAATGATATTATTACGAAAAATATTTGCAAAAATATCAGTAACATTTGGGACTACTTAGTTCACTAGGAAATAAAGCTACGTCCTGTATACCTGCACTTCATTTCATAACAAAAAGTTTCTCTGAAGTTAATTTAAAATAAGTAGTTGAGGTAACTTTAGAGAATTTATTTTTTTTACCGTAACTCTGGATGCATCAAGTTTAATTAAGCTACAGGACCTTGAATGTTCGATTGAAAGAAGATCCTATGGAATAAATTCATAAATAAATCAAGCAGTATTGTATTATAACTATATTTTTTTTGTAGATGTAAGTATTTAGAAATATGGGGTCTAATTTTTTTAATGTAATGATCGAAACTTTTATTCTTCGTAAAATGTATTTCGTAAGATACGAAACCTTTGGTGCATTAGCCACACTTGCACATGGTTTATTTTAGACCTAATACTTAATCAGTGACATTAAACGAAACTCTATATTGATTTTTATTAAACGGTATTTATTTTGTTGTAAGTTTTATGGTCGTTTGGTCTGGTATATTAGTAAAAGTGGAAAGCAAATAGAGTTTTTCCTTCCTGTGAAATGCACCTACTAAAATATTAATTATAATACTATTCGCAAATTATAGAAAAGCAAAAAATAAGTTGTTAGAGTACAGGGACTACAAAAGAAAATTTATAGTGCAGATCAGAGAAAAATCCAGTTAGTTTTGGTGTTTTTCGGTATCTAAGAAGTCGAATAACTCAAAATGGAAGGTTCAATAGAAATATAAAAGAGAGGGTAGCACAGAGTAACCTTCAATAAAAAGAAGTGACTTCTATCTTCTGTGCTCCCGAACGACCAGTTTAGATATTCAAAAAAAATTCGTAGAGTTGTACGAGATCTGTTCAAAAAGTATCCCGAATTTTATGTTTTTTCCAAAATTTTTTATTTTTTCATGAATATCTCCATCTCCTTCAAAATTATCCCTACTAGATATTATACACTTGTGCCAAAATTTTTTCCTATCCTCGACGCACTTCAAAAAAATAATTTCTTTGTGATCTTATTCAGTACAGTACTAAAATATAGGTGGCGCATCATCGTCCTTTCAGTTTCTGGAACAAGAAAAAATCACAAGGGGTCAGATCTGGGGAATACGGTGGCTGCGGCATTATTAGTGTGTTGTTTTTGGGCTAAAATTCGCGCACAAGCAACGATGTGTGAGTAGGGACGTTATCATGGTGCAAAAGCCAATTTCTGTTCTTGCTGGTAATATTCCTTGTGGACTGTTATACCTTATGGCAAAAACTCATGATGCACCACGCCCCTACAATCGAAGAAATCTGTAAGCAAAACCTTCACATTCGACCTAACTTAGCACGCTTTTTTCGGTCTTAGTTCCTGAGGCAGCTGGGATGATTGAGCTTTGGTTTCCAAGTCATAACCAAAAATCCATGATTCGTCGCCAGTTATGACCCTCTGGAGCAAATTTTGATCGTCGCGGACAGAGTCCAATAGCTCCTTAACAATGTTAATATGATGTTGTTTTTAGTCGAAATTGATCAATTTTGGTACGAATTTTGCGGCGACCCGTCTCATGGCCAAATCATTGGTAAAAATGAAATAGTTGGAACTAATCGTTATGTATAGGCCCTCAGCAATTTTTCTTATGATGACTCGACGATTGGGCAGCACAATTTCTTCACTTCATCAATGTTTTTGTCTGTTGTTGACGTGCTCGGGCGTTCGGCACGCTCTCCGTTGTTCACATCTTTTTGGCCCTCTGAGAACATTGTACCACCGATAAACGTTGCTTTTGTCCAAGGTGCGCGAACTTAATTTTGTTTTTCACGCAAAATTTGATACACATTTTTTGATCCATTTTTTGGAATAGGCAAAAATCGAAGACGAGCCAAAACACGTGCAAGCAAAGCAAAAATTAACTAAACATTCAACATGGCTGAACTTGTCGGTATAAGTAAGAGACATGAGTACCAACATAAGGCCACAAAAGAATCGATAATCAAATATACGTAACCAGGGTAAGTTCAAAATTCGCCATACTTTTTGAACAGACCTAATGTAATGTAATGCGACATGGAATAGATGGACGAAAAAATTTGAGGCGATGCAATAAAAGTTTCACTTTAATAATACATTTAATGTTAACTGTCTGTGTTGATTAATTTTAGATAATAAATAAATATCCACTGTGTTTAAATCGGTTCAAAAAAGTTATTGCAGTTTAGCTAAATAATATTATTATTTCAATCAGTTTTATGCAGGAATTATTGAAGTTTAGTTGAATAATGTTATAATTTCAGTCAGGTTTATACAGAAATTGTGATATCTATCAACTATGAACATAATAACCAGGCGAAAAGGTTCTAAAAAAATTTATGAATGACACTGTTCGGGGCGTTCCTGTCTACGTCATAGGAAGTATTCTTACGTTACTGATATTTTTGCATATGTGTAATTCTAATAAAATGTTTGCAAAAATTTACTCATATATATATACTTATCTGTAACACTCTGCGGCATCAAATTATTGTAAATGTGGCACCCTCTTGTATACCATGAGGTGTATGTTGTACCCTAATAAATTATGTAAGTAGTATAAATGTGAGTGGAAGAGCAACACTACAAAAATGTGAATAATTAGATATTTCTTGAACTTATCAGGTAAATGTAATTTATTATTGTATCTAATATTCCAATGGTAAATTATATTCATCTGATAAGTTCAAGAAATGGTAATGGAAACACAACAAATGTGTTATTTGCCGGGGCAGGGGTGAAGCCTGATCAACCCGTAACCTAACCTAATCCAATTTAACACAGTAAAAAATATTTTAAAATTGTTTTTCGATCACAGATGGCACCGTGTGTAAAAGACATCTCATATGATGGTGGCCACAGTGCAAGTTTAGGCGCCACAAAATCAATGCCTGAGCTACAATAACTATATATACATGTAAATATAATTACTTACAGTACTAAAATATAGGTGCAGTAGAGCTAATCACGAGACAGTGGTTGTAATAATACATGTCTGTAGAAAAATTATCCAATTGCGGCATACACTAAACAAAATGTATCGATAATTTCAGATGTGATTTCAGGTCGGAGTATAGTGGTAAAGAAGGGCGATGGATCGCAAGTAAAAGAGTCAACAGACAGTTCGACCACCCTCGAAGATGATGACGTCAAAGGTGAGCGTTAACTTTCAATTGTCTTTTTTAGTCTTAACCCCATTAATTAATACTAGATCGCGATCTTCCGTGTGTTAAAGCATGGTCCCGCTTCATCCCCAAAATATTTGATACAAGAAGGTCTTCGGTGTATCATATACAGAGTGTTTAGCATTTTCCCGTGTTTCACGTTCCCTGAGGGGCATTCCATGTTAGGTTCAACCTTTATTTCGTGAATAATAGTTACATCTTGCTGAAATTATTCCGTAAATTTAAATGCCCCTGCATTTTGTTGTCTGTTTAAGGAAATATTCTACTATAACCACCAACGCCATTTATTCTATTCTGGTAACGTGCCTATCACGTTGAGGTTAGCTACGCCGGGATTTGTTTCAGCAAGTAGATATCCATATATTTAAATGAACCTTGTTGGAGCATACGTAATCCTAAAATGTAGCATCGTACTACAGATGGCGTTTACTGCGCCATTTCTGGTATTTTCTAAAACGCACAGCAGGTAAAAGTTGGTCTGTGTTCTGTCGGAACTGTCTGCGACGCGCTGATGAGATCCAAAAAGATCGAAATCGCGATCCGCGTCTGGCAGTTTCGACAGAATACAGACCACTTCGAATTATTTTATTTGATTATGGTAACGTGGCTATCACGTTAAGGCTAGCTACGCCGGGATTCGTTTCAGCAAGTAGATATCCATATATTTAAATGGACCTTGTTGGAGCATACGTAATTCTAAAATGTAGCATCGTACTACAGATGGCGGTTACCGCGCCATTTGTGGTATTTTCTAAAACGCACTATTAAGACAGCAGGTAAAAGTTGGTCTGTGTTCTGTCGGAGCTGTCTGCAACCCGCTGATGAGATCCAAAAAGATCGAAATCACGATCCGCGTCTGGTAGTTTCGATAGAATACAGACCACTTCGAATTATTTTTTTAACTTTTATTATCCTACTTGTCTATATAATTTGCTTTGCTTTACTTTAATCATATTGTTCACCTGCAGTATGAAATTATAATGATTGTATATTATTTTAAATGGCAATACGCCACTTCACTCAAACCACAAACTTCAAATCAGGTCCTTCGAGGACATTCCATGAAATCGTTATTTTGCAAATTCCTGAAGTTCAAAACTTCATTGTCAAATGGTATCAAATGGGACTTCACCAAACTGGGCTAGAGCGGCAACAAATCCGATGATTTGTCACAGTTTTATAACGCCTTTGACGCGGAAGTGAATTTGACTACACCAGATTAGTAATTTTACTTAGCTGTTTATTCTTGTTAATATTGGTTAATAACAACGATGACATTTAATTAGGGTATATTGTCCTTAAAACTGATAGCCAACATTAAACAATATAGGAAAAAACATAATATATAGGTATGCTCTGGTTTAAGTAAAAACTGTTTCAGTATAAATAAACTTTTAAACAAATTAAGAAGGAATGATAATGTTTCACTGTTTCAATCGTGTACTTCAATCGCTCATTCCAAACTAACTTGAATGAACGTGCGTGTGTATGCTGTGAAGAGCTGCCCGCATATGCGGCCTAGGCTGGCGGCAACGGCCAGCGACCTAACCTAGTTTGGTGAAGTCTCGCCCTAAAGAACGAGATAACTGCAGCAATAGCTCTTACAGCAGCGCACCTAGCGGGACTTTGTAACAACAACAAATTTATTTGATCGAATTTTAATTATATAATTAGACAAAATTAAGGCAACCTAAATTCTCTTCATGAAGTATGCCTCTAAAATTCTGATACTGTCGAAAGGAAGAGTCATAAACCAGCCCCGTAGGAGCCTTTGCCACCTTTTCGTAAAGATTGCTACCCTGGCATTTCATATTTTGAAGAATTCACAATCTACACTTTACCCTAAAGCAAAATATTTATTAATGTTGTTCTAAATTAGTAATATTTTAGTCAAAAAAGATCATTTCAGCTTTTGTTTCATAATTTCAGGTCCTCCCAGATATTTTTAGCTTTGCCATTTTCATATTTGCTTCGACACTCTGTATGTGATACTGCCCTATTTTTTCAACGTGTCTTATCGTCTACATTTTTACAGGTGGTCCAATTATTGTTTATTTACCGAGGTTAATGAAATATACTTTGCTAATGGATTTACTCAAAGTATCTATAATAATTCGAATATAAACATTCATTTGAGTATAACTTTTGATCAGGGACGGATTAAGAGCAAATGTTAATTGATATCGCGCTTTAAATGTTCACTGTTAAATGTTTTGCTTTTATTGTGTCGACTTCGATTGTAGCACTAATCGTCCGTATATTTTGCAAGATTAAAAAAAGTACCCACTAAACTTCTGTAGCATTACAAAAGTACTTTTACCTTTTCTTTACTCGCACTTAAATAAGAAAAAAACTTTTGTCTGTAACTTCGCAAAGTAATTGGTTACTTATTTACTTATTTACTTTTTCATTCAATGCAAGTCACAAATATAAGAATATTTTAGTTTACTGAGTTTTCTAAACTAGGTAGGTACTTCTGTTTTAATATTGACGTTGGCTGTAAAGTTTCTAAGAGAAATTGTTCAGTATGTCACTAAGGTGACTATCGGCCACCATATTGTATCATAACATCCTTAATGTCAAGATGAGTTTAATTCATTTATTACATTAACCGTAAGAGATACAACAGCGGTTAGATGGGAACAAAATTACTCAATGGTGCAGTACCTAGAAATGTAGGATATCTTTTTTGGTTTGTGAAATATTTAAATATAGTTTTGGATTCCCTTTAACTCAAAATATTTCGGTTATAATTAGACGTATTAAAAGATATTTTTTATTTCAATATTTTCAGCTCCATGCGCCGGTACCATTAGATTTTCCATACAACTTTTCATTCTTGCGAGACCGTCATCAACTTTAAAATCACCTAGTAAGGGCCTGGAATTTTTACTTTTTCTTTTGAAAAGATGTTAATAAGTCTACACCAGATAGTACTTGACAAATTCTCAACTTTACGTAATAATAGAACCATCATCTTTCTTCATGGTATAATTCTTCTCAAAACGGCTCCATACTTTGCTTAATAGATTAAAAAAAAGAATAGTCTTATCTTTACACTACACTAAATAACAAAGGATTTCAAAAAAAAATTAACAATTCCAAGATGGTACTAAAAATTTAAAGTTAATGAAGATTCCATAAAGACGCAACGTTGCATGGTACTGATGCAGTGAGCTGAAAAGAGCAATGAGAATATAATCTTTATATATCATTGGGTCTAATTATATATGAAATATTTGGAGTTAATGAACTTCCAAAATTTTGATTTTTTTCAAATGCCTCACAAACCAAAAATGATGCTGTATATATTTCTAGGTACGATTCCATTAGGCAGTTTATTAGGCAACTCCACCTCGCCCCCCCCCCCCC